CTCACGCCTGTAATCCCAGCACTTTGGGAGGCCGAGGCGGGCGGATCACAAGGTCAGGAGATCGAGACCACGGTGAAACCCCGTCTCTACTAAAAATTACAAAAAAATTAGCCGGGCGCGGTTGTGGGCGCCTGTAGTCCCAGCTACTCGGGAGGCTGAGGCAGGAGAATGGCGTGAACCCGGGAGGCGGAGCTTGCAGTGAGCCGAGATCGCGCCACTGCACTCCAGCCTGGGCTGGGCGACAGAGCGAGACTCCGTCTCAAAAAAAAAAAAAAAAAAAAGAAATAATTCTGCGCTAAGTCAGTTTAGAGAGAATCCCCTACCCTTGATATCTGATCACACTAGACTGCCTTGAGCAAGAATACCCCTATCCTTGATGTCTCTTAGTAATTTTCCATCCACTGACCACCTGCCTCCCGATTCTGCTAAAAATCCCCAGCTGTTTTTGCTGTATTCAGAGTTGAGCCCTCTCTCTCTACCCTAGAGATAGTCTTGACACCCATTGCAATAGTTTTGGATAAAGTGTTCTCACAGTTTCAACAAGTGTTGGAATATTCTTTAATAAGTCTCAGAGGGCAATGGAGCTCCCTAAGAGGCTGCAGAGAGAGAAGAAACAGATCTGGGTATTTATTCCCTTGGCTTCCCTCTGGGGGAAGTCCATTACTGAACAGAAGGTCTCAGCTCCTGTCAGGAGGTCCATTCTACCTAACCCTGTCTTCCCCTGCCATTAACTGTTCCCATTCTTGCCCTTTCAGGCCTAGGGTAGTAATAGAGTCTCATTATTACCAGCCCCAGGGAGGCCACACCAATATTTGTATCCCCATGGTTTTCCACCACTTTGTGAGTTATTAAACTCTCCTCAAAGTACTGTATTTGAGAATGCCATCTGTTTCCTGCTGGATCTCCCTAATACAGATATCATCTCAGCAGATTTCTTATTCTAAAAAGGCTATTAGCTCTAAGAAAGGCAGGCACAGATGTGACAAGCAGTGAGATTTCTATATGAGTGACTTAAATAAGCTGATTTTAAGCTGCCATTTCTCCATTCTCTAGTTATTTTTATAATTATAGTAGCAGAGTATTTTCTGAAACATATAGTTTCCAAGTAGAATCTCTAAGCATCAACAGGGATTATTTTAAGAAGAAATATCCAAGGAAACTAGAAGTAAAAACTGTGTTATCGACGGGCGCGGTGGCTCAAGCCTGTAATTCCAGCACTTTGGGAGGCCGAGACGGGCGGATCACAGGGTCAGGAGATCGAGACCACCCTGGCTAACACGGTGAAACCCCGTCTCTACTAAAAAATACAAAAAACTAGCCGGGCGAGGTGGCGGGCGCCTGTAGTCCCAGCTACTCGGGAGGCTGAGGCGGGAGAATGGCGTAAACCCGGGAGGCGGAGCTTGCAGTGAGCTGAGATCCGGCCACTGCACTCCAGCCTGGGGGACAGAGCGAGACTCCGTCTCAAAAAAAAAACAAAAAAAAAACTGTGTTAGCTAAAACTAACCAGAAACCTAAGAAGAGCTTCTTTGCCTTTATTTCCAGCTGGTGGTTATATCCAGCGGTAATGTTCATAGTAATACTTTTAATAAGTGCAAGAAACACCTTAATAATACCACATACAAACCTGGCAACTCTTAATCACCTGCTGAAGGCTAATTCCATACATAGTCTAGAGCAGTATTTGTCAAATTCAGGTTGTAGTTGATTGTGAAATCAATTCAGCAGGTCCTAACAGTTTTTTAAATGACACCTCTATACACAATAATGTAAAACAGAAAATCAGAGCATATTATACATAGTAAGCATAAATATTTCACCAAATTTTTATCTCACCTTTTTACATACCTATTTTTATAGGTGTACAAGGGCATAATGTAAAATGTATTCCTTATGATGGGTGGCAGTCAAGAAAGTTTGAAAGCTACTGGTCTGGGCGGCCAGTCGTGGTGGCTCACACCCGTAATGCCAGCACTTTGGGAGGCCGAGGTCAGGAGTTCAAGACCAGCCTGGCCAACATGGTGAAACCCCGTCTCTACTAAAATTACAAAAATTAGCCGGGCATGGTGGCGGGCGCCTGCAATCCCAGCTACTCGGGAGGCTGACGCAGGGAACTGCTTGAACCCAGGAGGTGAAGGTTGCAGTGAGCTGAGATCCTGCCACTGCACTCCAGCCTGGACGACAGAGCAAGACTCTGCCTCAAAAAAAAAGTAAATAAATAAAGGTACTGGTCTGAAGAGAACCCCCTTCAAACAATACAATAAAGCTAAAAACATGTTTCAGCCTACAGCTTCAAATTTTAAAAATCCGAATCTTTATTAAAAATACAGCTTGCTGGATGGGCGCAGTGGCTCAGGCCTGTAATGCCAGCACTTTGGGAGGTCGGGGGAGGGGGGAAATGGATCACGAAGTCAGGAGTTCGAGACCAGCCTGGTCAACATAGTGAAACCCCATCTCTACTAAAAATACACAAAATTAGCCAGGCATGGCGGCGCGCACCTGTAATCCCAGCTACTCGGCGGAAGGCTGAAGCAGGAGAATCACCTGAACCCGGGAGGCAGAGGTTGCAGTGAGCCAAGATCGCACCATTGTACTCCAGTCCAGGCGACGGTGTAAGATTCCAATTCAAAAAAACAAAAAATAAATACAGCTTGTTGCCAAACATAAGCATATCAGTAACTGAAATAAAAGTTCTATAAAACAGTATTTATTTATTTATTTTTCTTTTGAGATAAGGTCTCCCTCTGTCACCTAGGTGGGAGTGCAGTGGTGCAATCTCAGCTCACTTCAACCTCTGCCTCCTGGGTTCAAGCGATTCTGCTGCCTCGGCCTCCCAGGCAGCTGGGATTATGGGTAAGTGCCACCAACGCCCAGCTAATTTTTGTATTTTGAGTAGGCATGGGGTTTCACCATGTTGGCCAGGCTGGAAAACAGTATTTACTCTTACTACATGTGATGTGCTGTGATATTTTCTCTTAATTGATGATTCCAAACCACAGTGTACAAAGTACTTGCCTAGAATAGTAACAGGGCAGGTCTGTAGAATTCTGTTCTGCATCTGCCTTCATCTGATTTTATGTCATTTCTATTGTGGTAGCAAGCAATCAAATCCTCTTCCTCCTTAGGTTTCTGTGTAACTACTACATGACTTCTGCTCAGTGGGAGAGAAATATCTTGAGTATGAAGCAGATAAAGATGTAACAGTTGAGGAACTAGCCCCATCCACATGTCCTGGCATTCAGTGCCATGGTACATGCTGAGAGCAGCATCTTACTGCAAGCACCTGCAGCTCCCAGCCTGAGGACATAGGGCAAGGAATGTGTGGAAGCAGCTCTGAGCCAATGTCCGATGAGCAGTGGAGGTTAAACATTCCACCCTCCTCAGCCCTCACTGTGTTCTTTCCAATCTCTAAGTTTCCCAGCAGGAATGAGTGCCAGCCACAACTAGCAGTCACCTGCTTGATAACTCAACATTTACTGGCTTCTTTCCTCTCTTGGACCTCTCTACTGGGGCTTCCTGGAATCACCTCTCATATAAACGACACGCACTTAAACCTTTATCTCAGGGTCTATTTCTGGGTATATGCAACCTAAGAGAGTACACTAGTATAATTCTGTTGTTTAGAGCCAGGGCTGCAAAGATGGGGAGGGCCCACCCTAAAAAAGCTCACGCTCCAATAGGAAAATCAACGCTCTTTTTAAAAATGTGGGGCCGGGCGCGGTGGCTCACGCCTGTAATCCCAACACTTTGGGAGGCCAGGGCGGGCAGATCACGAGGTCAGGAGATCAAGACCATCCTGGCTAACATGGTGAAACCTAATCTCTACTGAAAATAAGCTGGGTGTGGGGGCCTGCCACCACACTCGGGAGGCTGAGGCAGAAGAATGGCATGAACCCAGGAGGCAAAGCTTGCAGTAAGCCAAGATTGCACCACTGCACTCCAGCCTGGGCGACAGAGCAAGACTCCACCTCAAAAAAAAAAGAAGTGAAACAAAACTTTACTGCTCATAGCAATGACAGGTATGCTCAAGGAGGGAAGGAAGAGGGGACAATATCTGACTGAAGGGCCACAGAAGCCGCAGTGTAGGAGACTGCAGAACTCCCTACAGGAGTCAAGATGGGTAGTCAGGGCCATCCATAGTATGGGTCTATGTTCACTTCCCTGTGGTAAGTCTTAAAGCCTCTCTGATTTAGTGTAATACTTTACTTCTCACATTTAGGTTAAGAAAATAATTTTTACTTCTTCCAAAAAGAAATAATTCTAGCCTTCAGCTAAAAATAACTCAAGTAATATGAAAAATATGAAAGGAGAAAAATGATTAAGTTCCTGACAATGTGTTAAGAAAATTATTTGTAAATCATCTTTGATCTTTTTATGTTCCTCTGAAATCATAGACGATGGGAGTGAGTGTTCAACCCAAATCTTCATGAAAAGTTCTAAAGAAGGCTGATATTTTCATTTGAAAAGCATTATTTTTAAATGTAAAGTTTACATGTTCAGCTTTGTGTTCAATCCTATAAACCAGGACTTCTTTAAGGCTGGCAACAAATAAGAAAGCTACAGCTAATTTTCTCCCTTCTTTTTTTTTTTTTTTAAGAGACAGGATCTCTCTCTGTCACCCAGGCTGGAGTGCAGTGGCACAATCACGGCTCACTGCAGCCTCAACCTTCTGGGCTCAAGTGATCTTCCTGCTTCAGCCTCCACAGTAGCTGGGACACAGGTGCAAGCCACCATGCCCAGCTAATTTTTTTTCTAAGAGACAGGGTCTTAATGTATTGCCCAGGCTAATCACAAATTCCTGGGCTCAAGCAATCCTCCTGAGAAAGTTATGGCTAATTTTCCTTTGCATCTTCCATTCTGGTAAACATTGCAGCACAGGCAAAGCAGCATCATAACTCTCTCTCTCTCAGGCAAGGAGTTTGATCTGCAGCGAAAGCAGGTATTTGCACTGAAAGCTTCTCCAACATGCCAAGTACATCAGGGACTGAGACTCAAATACTCACCCTGACCCAGCAGGGAGTGACGGCAGAGCTGAAGGGACATTAGCTGGTGGTTTTTCTTTCTCATTCTGCTTGAAGAAGGATTTGGCCTCTTTAGATGTAGCATCCACTTCCTTAGTCACCCTGTGCCAAGGAAAAAGACATCAAGCTTACAAGAAGAATAAAGGCAAAGAAACAAGCTAGAAAAGGAAATAAAGACAACTAGAAAAAGATCCACTGGGCTTTCAATAAATTCTGGATGCTCAGCGTTATGATAAAAGTTTACTACAATAACTTTCAATAAAGACATTTTCCCGGCTGGGTGCAGTGGCTCACGCCTGTAATCCCAGTACTTTGCGAGGCCGAGGCAGGCGGATCATGAGGTCAAGAGATCGAGACCATCCTGGCCAACATGGTGAAACATAGTCTCTACTAAAAATATAAAAATTAGCTGGGCATGGTGGTGGGAGCCTGCAGTCCCAGTTACTAGGGAGGCTGAGGCAGGAGAATCAGTTGAACCCAGGATGCAGAGGTTGCAGTGAGCCAAGATTGCACCACTGCACTCCAGCCCTGGCAACAGAGTGACACTCCGTCTCAAAAAAAAAAAAAAAAAAAAAAAAAAGGAAGAACAAAGCAATATACAACCATAAATTTAAAGGGAAAACTTTGCAGTGGAGACATCTGACAAACTCCACCTTGCCAAATGATTAAAGCTAACATCAGTAATACATCAGTAATACATTGATATATGAGATAAGAAGGGCAAGTCCCCTCTCTGGTGGTCTCTCCAACATCCATAACCTCATTCTAATGCGAAATCACGAAGCAAACCCAAATGAAGAGACATTCTACAAAATACCTGACCAGCACTTTCCAAAGGCAATATCATGAAAAATATAGGCTGAGAAACTGTCATGGGACGGGAGGAGACCAAGGAGACATGACAATTAACTAAAGGTGGAAAATGGGTTTGGGTCCTGGAACACAAATGATTATTAGTGGAAAAACTGTCAAAATCTGAAGTCTATCGTTTAGTTAATGGCACTGTACCAATGTTAATTTCTTTCTTTTTTAGAGACAAGGTCTCGCTCACTATGTTGCCCAGGCTGGAGTGCAGTGGTGATTCACAGGAGTGATCACAGCACACTGCAACTTCAAACTTCTGGCCTCAAGCATTCTTTCCTCCTCAATCTCCAAAATAGTCGGGACTGCAGGTGTGAACCATGCTTGGCTCCCAATCTCTGCCTCCTGGGTTCAAGCAATTCTCCTGCCTCAGCCTCCCAAGTAGCAGTGAGCCGAGATCATGCCATTGCACTCTAGCCTGGGCGACAGAGCAAGGCGCCATCTCAAAAAAAAAAAAGACACTTTCCCTCACTAAAATTAACAAATGAAACAACAATGTGTATAAATTGTATCTCCCTAAAACAGCCCAAAGATGAAACAAAATCCCTTAAAACTGGCTAAATTAGCAATAATTTGGGAATGGACAAAAGCAACATGACTGAGAATTTTGTCTAATTTCAAATCTGAAACAATTATCTTCATTAAAACTGAGTCCTAAAGGATCAAATAAAGGTATTTATGGTACCTGAGAATTCAGATAAAGAGAGAAGGAGAAATGTCTAATCTCTCCCTAGGCTTTCCAGGTTAACAAAAACACCTGAGGAATGTTGTTTAAATGTAGTCTATCTCCCCTCCATGACTTCTCAGCATGAAATACACTGCAGCAGTCAATACTAAATCTCCATGCTGGGTTACTGACGTGAAGGCTGAAAAACGCCCTCACACTGCACCCCACATGCAGATTAGCACTCAGACTTAAAGGTCCAGTGAAAGCTGAGATGGGGAGATGGAATATTGGGAATGTGGGTGATAGAACTGGGAAATGCCTAGGCTGGCACTATTTCAAGGAGAAAAATAAGAGTTTAAGAAAAAAAAAAAAAGAGGCCAATGCAGTCTATTATGGCCAGCAGCGGTGGCCTCTTTTGTAGCCCTCTGATAAGTTTTTTCTTGTTTTTGTTTGTTTGTTTGTTTGTTTTTATTTGATACGGAGTCTTGCTCTGTCTCCTAGGCTGGAATGCAGTGATGCGATCTAGGCTCACTGCAACCTCCACCTCCTGGGTTCACGCCATTCTTCTGTCTCAGCCTCCCAAGTAGCTGGGATTACATGTGCCTGCCACCACGCCTGGCTAATGTTTTTGTATTTTTAGTAGAGACGGGGTTTCACCGTGTTAGCCAGGATGGTCTTGATCTTCTGACCTCGTGATCCACCTGCCTAGGTGTCCCAAAGTGCTGGGATTACAGGCGTGAGCCACCGCACCCAGCAATTTTTTGTTTTAAAACCAGGTCAGGTACAGTGGCTCATGCCTGTAATACCAGCACTTTGGGATGTGCTATAATAGTGAGTCCAGGGCCAGGCACGGTGGCTCACGACTGTAATTCCGGCACTTTGGGAGGCCGAAGTGGGCAGATCATTTGAGGTCAGGAGTTCAAGACCAGCCTGGCCAACATGATGAAACCCCATCTCTACTAAAAATACAAAAATTAACTGGGTGGTGCGTGCCTGTAATCCCAGTTACTTAGGAGGCTGAATCGCTTGAACCTGGGAGGCAGAGGTTGCAGTGAGCTGAGACAGCATCACTGCACTCTAGCCTGGACAACACAGCAAAACTTCGTCTCAAAAAGAAAAAAACAGGCTGGGCGCAGTGGCTCACGCCTGTAATCCCAGCACTTTGGGAGGTCAAGGCAGGCAGATCATGAAGTCAGGAGTTCAAGACCAGCCTGGCCAACATGGTGAAACCCTGTCTTTACTAAAAAAAGTACAAAAAATTAGCCGGGCATAGTGGCAGGTGCCTGTAATCCCAGCTACTCGGGAGGCTGAGGCAGGAGAACCACATGAACCCGGGAGGCAGAGGCTGCAGTGAGCCGAGATCCCACCACTGCACTCCAACCCAGGCGACAGAGTGACACTACATCTCAAATAAATAAATAAATAAAAATAAAAGGACAAAACCAAAACAAAACAAAAAAAATACTTCCCTACTCCACTGATGCTGAGCTTGGATACATGACTTGCTTCAAAGGCCAATGAAGTATTAGCTGATCTGAGAGGAAGAGAAGTTTAAACATGTTTGTGCTGTTTCTCCTGCCCCTTGAATTCGTCCCTTGAGTCATAAGGAGAATGAATACACCTCAACTAGCTGCTGGTCCAAAATGGCAGAAAGACATGCTGCAGACCTGAATCCAACAAACAAGCAGCTTGGAGCTGAGCTGAGCCAAGTCTAAATCACTCAATCTCAGATACTTAGAGGAACACAGGCAACAAGTAAACGCTTATCATTGTATATCACTGAGTTTTGGAATGGTGTGCCACACAGCACTAGTGTAGCAAGAGCTGACTGACACATTTACATTTTGTGAGTAAGAAAACCGAAATATAAGGTTATGTTACTTATTCAAGGCTATCCTGAGATTAAGCAGCAATGCTAGAGAGAACCCTATAGCAGATAGTATATTCCAAAGATGGTTGCCACAAATTTCCCATCCCCACATGCTCTTCCAGAAATCTGATACTAACCCAGTTAGAGGGGGAGTCTGTGTCATCACCCCTTGACAGTGAATGGGCTTTTGTGGCTGTCTCAACTCAAAGAGTTCTGTGGAAGTGGCACGACATGACTTCTGAGGCTAGCGAATAAAAGATGATATAGTTTCCACCTGGCACGCTCTGTCTGTCTGTCCCTGTCTCAGTCTTTCTCAAGAATGTACCTTTGAAACTCCAAGCTACCACAAAACAAGTCTGGTTACTCTGCAGCCACTATGTTGGAGAGATCATATAGGAAGATCACACAGAGACAAGACGTCTGAGAAGCCTGTACCAACCCCCAGGTGTTTGACCTAGCTCTGGCATCAGACATGGGAGTAAGGAAACTTGTGAAGTGGTTCCATACTTAGCCACTATCTGATTACAACTGTACAATAGACCCCGAGTAAGAACGGCCTAGCTGAGCCCAGCTACCCCTGGAATCAAGAGAAATTAAAATAAAACAATTAGGCCGGGCGCGGTGGCTCAAGCCTGTAATCCCAGCACTTTGGGAGGCCGAGACGGGCGGATCACGAGGTCAGGAGATCGAGACCATCCTGGCTAACACGGTGAAACCCCGTCTCTACTGAAAATGCGAAAAACTAGCCGGGCGAGGTGGCGGGCGCCTGTAGTCCCAGCTACTCGGGAGGCTGAGGCAGGAGAATGGCGTAAACCCGGGAGGCGGAGCTTGCAGTGAGCTGCGATCCGGTCACTGCACTGCAGCCTGGGCGACAGAGCGAGACTCCGTCTCAAAAAAATAAAAAATAAAAAAAAAAAAAAAAAAAAAATAAAACAATTATTTTTTAAAGTCACTAAATTTTGAGGTGCTTTCTTACACTGTTTTAAAAATTACAAAATAGGCCGGGCGCGGTGGCTCAAGCCTGTAATCCCAGCACTTTGGGAGGCCGAGACGGGTGGATCACGAAGTCAGGAGATCGAGACCATCCTGGCTGACACGGTGAAACCCCGTCTCTACTAAAAAATACAAAAAACTAGCCGGGCGAGATGGCGGGCGCCTGTAGTCCCAGCTACTCGGGAGGCTGAGGCAGGAGAATGGCGTAAACCCCGGAGGCGGAGCTTGCAGTGAGCTGAGATCCGGCCACTGCACTCCAGCCCGGGCGACACAGCGAGACTCCGTCTCAAAAAAAAAAAAAAAAAAAAAAAAATTACAAAATAAACCCACATCCAAATCTCCGGCTTAATGCAGTGTTCCAGAGTACTAAACTAGAAAGGGTACCTTTAAATTTCCTTGCTCTGGGTAGAATCTGGGGCAGACCAGCTAATGAAGAACAAGCAGAAGCTGCCACTTACATATAGTAATCTGAACACATGCTTTATTCCAATCCTGCCAAAACCGTACTAAATAGTGGCAAGTTTAAAAAGATGAAACTACACAAGGATAATGAGAAGAAATGTAACAGAAAAGGGATGTCAATAGAATTTTCTTCTTTTTTTATGTTTTAAAGACAGGGTCTCACCATGTTGCCTGGGCTGGATTCAAACTCCTGGGCTCAGGCGGTCCTCCTGCCTTGGCCTCCCAGTGCTGGGATTACAGGCGTGAGCC